ATCTATCTATCTATCTTTCTTTTTCTTTCTCTATCTATCTATCTATCTATCTATCTATCTATCTATCTATCTATCTATCTTTCTTTCTTTCTTTTTCTATCTATCTATCTATCTACCTACCTACCTACCTACCTACCTACCTACCTACCTACCTACCTACCTACCTACCTACCTATCTATCTATCTATCTATCTATCTATCTATCTATCTATCTATCTTTCTTTCTTTCTTTTTCTATCTATCTATCTATCTTTCTTTTTCTATCTATCTATCTATCTATCTATCTATCTATCTATCTATCTATCTATCTATCTATCTATCTATCTATCTATCTATCTATCTATCTATCTATATCAAATTTATATGCCACCCATCTCATCATAAAAGGTGACTCTGAGCAGCATTTATTTATTTACAGTATTTATTCATTCTTGCCTGATGTAAGAGCTGGTTCTCATTTTCACAGGAAGATTATTAGCAGTTTTTACAATCTACAGATGCAAGCTGACCTACTTTCTCAAAAAAGACAGCCCCCCCTTACATTAAATGAGTGCAAGAAAGTCAGTCTCAATTGGCCTATAATATCTATATTATCATCCTCAAAGTAAAGTACTTGGCAAAATTCGTGAGTTCTTACTTTAATCTTTTTTCCTAAAAATATGCTGATCTGAGAGACTTGTTCCTTGGACTCATCATTTCTAGTTACTTTTTATTTTAACCACATGTTGCTGAATAAGACACAGTGACTATTCATACAAGTCATAAAGCATGGTAAACAAATCACAATGGTTAAATTCACAGTCCAAGCTAAAGTAAACTAAACTATTATGGCTTAGAAAATATACTGTGACTTAAGTTTCTAAAAGGCACTCAGCCACATCATACAGTAAATTCTCTGATGCAACTGTTCTAGATGGGGAGAGTCAATAGGGACTCCTTTCTTAGATTCCATCTCCCAGTCCTCAAAATATTTTTAAATACTTAAAAAAACAGAATAACAGAGTTGGAAGGGACTTTGGAGGTCTTCTAGTCCAACCCCCTGCTACAGGCAGGAAACCCTACACCATTTCAGACAAAAATTTGTTCAATCTCTTAAAAATTTCCAGTGTTGGAGCATCCACAACTTTGGGAGGCAAGTTGTTCCACTGATTAATTGTTCTAAACTGTCAGGAAATTTCTCCTTAGTTCTAGGTTGCTTCTCTAAAATTTAAAATATTAAGACAATTTTGTGACTTAGTTCTCAGCTCCAGAAGATAAGAAATAGATTATTCTTGTAAACATGCTCAAATCCTGTTTAATAAATTGAACGGGCCAGTCAGCATGCTCTGAGTCCTCCAACGTTAGCAACACTGAATAAATATCGAATGACCTGGATAATTTTCCTATACTGGATTTACAAAGGGGGCTTATTAAAGCTTTGAAGAATTTTGTGAGAAGGGGCAAAGAAAAAAAAAGAAATCTCTAGGACATTATTTGGAGGTACTAAATATCAAGATTGTTAAAAGTAAAAGGAAGAAATATAAAGCTGGTTTATTTGATCCAGGTTAAAAGAGATATGTTATCTCTGGTAACTCTTAATAGACTTTTGCTGATTAGGACTGAACAATGGATCTTTAAGGATTTGTTTGTAGGTAAGAGATGAGATATGGGAACAAGAGATCATTCACTGTGTTTTAAGAGAAAATGAACAATTACTAAAATTGTTTATACTTGTGGTAAAGGGGGAAGTCATTTGTATATCTCTTTTCTTTTTTCTTTACTATATTCTTACTTTTTTCTTTTCTATTTTTCTTTTTCTTTTTTCATTTCTGCACTTTCTATTTTTTCTTTTTATTCTTCTCTTTTTCAGCTTGTATTAGTTTTTAACTTTCTAATTGTAACTTTTAAT